TTCAAGCAGGTGTTTAGGAGAGGATCGGAATATCTGTGATCTATGACTCCGTAGGTACCAAATGAAGAGCAATAATTAGCAATCCGTGGACCTCTAACGTCAATAACATCAATATCGTCGCTTATTTTTTAGGAATTATGTTCTTTTTTATAATTAACATTAACTACCACGAATAATTTCGATGGCGCATGCAAGGAAATTACGTATTTTAGAACTGCATGAAAGGATAATTGATGTATATTGTGATTGTGAAAGAACGAATGACAGATAAACTATTTGTGAACTTCGTTGTCCAACACAAACGAGTAATGAAGATTTTATTATTGAAATAAGCTGTTAAATGGAGGAATTACCTTAATTCAACGACGTAAGGACTTTCTCCGTAGACATCGTGGTGTAGGTATTTTTCATGCATTAAAACAGAAAGTTATTCATGGTTAGGGGCGGAGAGAAAAATGACGCATAGTTTTGCCGTTAACTCCCTTTGCGCCACGTCATCCGCAGAGCCCTGCTTCTAACTAAATAATTCATATCTTTTTATACCTCACGTTGAGGACCCCCCACCCAACCCCTTAAATCGTGGTCATCCCGGTCTTTGATACCGTCTGTCATTATAAATAAGTCACTCCCATTAATCACAAAAGGTCCCTTCATAATGGACTGAACTGAACGCCCTCCAGGCACAGTACATTAGCTAGTCAAATAAACTTGACAGTGGCCCATCATTGGCAGCTTTTACACTAAGACACAAAAGCCTTCCTCCTATCTACAAGTCCCTCAAACTCGCCACGTCCTTACCCAGTTACCGAAATGTGTGTAAACATTTGGTGTGGAAATCTACGTTCACGCCACAGTTTTCTAGTAATAGGCTAGTGAAGTCTTTAAAAGTTTGTTTGTAACTTGCAACTGCCTTCCTCCCCATCTGCACCGTATTAAGTGTGAAAACTATAACTAAGTACTTGTTTTGTCTCCAAAAACACCCTTCAGAATTTTGGTTTGTCATGAGGTACGCAATCTCCTGTAACCCGTTTCCAGTACTGTTTTTTTGGAATTTAAAAAAATATATGGAATCCCTTTTTCGATATATGGCTCCATTGTCTTTTTGGACCGGTCGTTTAGAGGACTCCGGATTCGTAAAAGTCCCGACTTTTGCAGTCTGAGGGCACTCCGGAGTATTTTGCCCCAGTAATACTTCCTTCCACCCATATGAATGCGTACTGCGCCTGTAGGCAACAGCGTCGATGGCGTAAGACATGGGAGGTAATGTCCAAATAGTTGGAGCGAAGAACCGTAGTGTTACCGACATGGCTGGGATAGGTAACGCTCGAGGTGTTTCAGACTGCCTTTATGGTTCGAGTTCTGTTAAGGGTTTTACACGGCTTATTCACTCTCCTGGTCTTCATGCAAAGACGAACATCCCAACATTACTATTTTTTACACTGCGAAGACTTCTAAAAGATTGCCAATACAAGCGAACATGCGTGTCCCAGGAGGCAATTGAGAAGATGAAGACTCGCTA